CTGTGCCATCCTCATCATTTCTGACACACTCGAGCCCATCACCGCCGTCACTATGTCAATTTGTCTGGTTGAGGGTCTTCCTCTCTTTCACTGACCCTCCACCTTTCCAAGGACTAACCTTTCCTAATGACATGCCCAAAGAGATGAAGATTTGTCATTCTTACCTCCAAGGAGCACTCTGACTATACTTTCTCTAAGACATATCTCTATACTCTTTTGGCAGTCCATGGGACATTGAATACTGTTCTCCAACACCATAACTCAAAGACATTAATTTTTCTTCTAGACATTATGCTGTTGTTGTGGACCACAGTCTGAACCAACCCCATTGCTGACTCTTCAGCGGGTTTTCAGAGGCAGTTAATTACATAGGAAGAGATTGATTGCCCTCCCTTCTCCTGTAGGGCTGGTGGCTTCGAACCACATGCCTTTGGGATTGCAGCACAGCTGCTTACCACGAGGCCACCAGAGCTCCCTAGGTATGCTAATCATCCTTTATTCTACACAGCCTTTCTCTTCACTCAACTCATCATGCATCTACTGTCTAAATACTAATTGCTAAAGTCTTCTGATGAGCATGAGTATTTAATGTTTAGGAAGTCTTGGTTATCTAATGATGAAGCCCTGATGGAATAGTGATTTAGGAATTTAGTTTCTAACTGAAAGTTTGGTGATTTAACTCACCTCCTAGTCTGTGGAAGAAAGAGGTGGCACTCTTCTGCTATAGAGACTTACAGTATTGGACATCCATTACAACTTGAGAAGTTACATTCTGTTTTTGTTTGGCTTTTTTAATTTTTATTTTAATGGACATTTACGGAGATTTTATATTTCCATTCATTCATTGCTGCATTTCTCTCCCTGCCCAGTCCCCACCCTAGTTCATTCCTCTCTCTGAAAAGTAAAAGAAAAACTCCCTCCCTTGTACACAATTCCCCCGCACCCCTCCCTCCACCCCAAGTACATTCCACTATGCAACCTTAATTGTGGACTCTTGTAATTACATTCTGTTTAACAGGTCACTATGAGTCATGGTTGACTTATTGGAAGTGGGTATCAGTCATCTAATTAATCTTCTGTGGTTTGTGAATTTGTGGTTGGATCTGATAGTCTATTTTGGGGGGGGAGGGAAATAGATTTTAAGTTTTGTCTGTATATTATCATCCAAGAATTTTATGGCTTTAATATTAGGTCTTTGCTCCATTTGACCTCTTAAAATGTTAATCAGAAAAGATGCTACATTGAGGACTAAGGTACACCTGACCCAACAAGCTATTTTATTTTCAGTTGCCTCATGTTCATGTATAAACTGAGTAATGAAATAAGGAGAAATAAAGAAGAGCTGCTCCCTCTGACTTACGGCATTGGTGAAGAATATTAAATATGCCATGGACTGCCAAAAAGAACAAGGAGTAATATGTAAGAGTTGTGCTGCTGACTCAGAGGCCATACATCTTTGATAGTTTCAACCCTCCAGCAAGTTGCACAAGAGAAAGATGAACGATCTCCTCTGGCATGATTTAGAGCCTTGGAAACCTGTTGGAGGGTCAGTTATCAGTCAGTTCTGATTTGATGGCAATGAGTTTGAATTTTTTAGTTTTGCCAGAAGAACAAACGAATCTGTCTCAGGAGAAGGGCAGCCAGTATATTCCTTGGAAGCCAACATAGTGAGACTTGGTCTCACTGTGGTCATGTCATCAGGAGGAAGCAATCTCTAAGGCCTGATGAAGTAGAAGGTCATTCAAAAAGAGGAGGACCTTTAATGAGACGGAATGACACAGTGGGCGCCTACGATCGGGTGAAGCACCCCAGCGACGGTGAGGATGGCACAGACTTGGGAGTGTTCTGCTCTGTTGTACATAGTGCTGTTCAGGTGCACAGATATCACCTCACAACTGCATGCAGTGCTGCGGTGTGTCATTTGCTGATGATGTAATTCTCAGGTTTTTGTTGTTCACTGATGTCAAATCACAATTGACTCATAGCTGACTCTCCAGCGAGTTTACAGAGGCTCTAAATCACATGGGTAAAGATTGCTCGTCTTTGCTTGTAGAGCAGGTGGTGGGTTTGAATTGCCAACCTGCTGGCAGCACAACTCCTTACCCTCTTGTTGGTGGTGTTGTTGTTTGTGCTGTCAAGTCACCTGTGACTCTTAGCAACCCTATGTACACAGCAGCTTTAAACCCTGCCCTGTCCTGAGCCATTCTCATTGACCAGACTCTGACAACCTACTCTAAATGCCTCAATTATTGTATCAATCCATATAATCTGGGGTCTTCCTTTCCTGCGCTGTCCCTCCGCCCTTTCAAGCATGATGTCCTTCTCTAAGGACTGGTCTCTCCTGGCCACATACCTAAAATACGTGAGACAGGGCTTCAAAATCCTAGCCTCCAAGAAGAAACTTGATTTCACCATCTCTAAGACAGACCTATTTGTTTTCTTGGTGGTCCATGGTATGTTCAAGACTCTTCTCCAGCATCACAATTTAAAAGCATTGATTCTTCTTCTGTTCTCTTTAGTCATTGTCCAGCTCTCTAATGCATAGCAAGCAATTGTGAAGACTATAGCCTGGATTAGGTGCACCTTAGTCTCTAGACTGACATCATTGCTCCTCAGCACTCTGGAGAGGTCCCTGACAGCAGATTTCCCCAATGCAATTAGTCTTTTGATTGCCCAATTGATGATGTTAAGAGTGTTGATTGTGGAGCGAAGCAAGCTGAAATTATTAACAATCTTAGTCTCTTCTCCATTTACCATTATGCTGCCTTTTGGCTCAGTGAAGAGAATCTTTGTCTTCTTAATGTTAAGCATCAATCTGTGTTGAAGACTACAGTCCTTGACCTTCTGCAGCAAGCACTTCAGGTCCTCCTCAGTTTCAGCAAGTAGGGTTGTGTCATCTGCATTACATAGGTTGTTGATGATTCTTCCTCCATTCCTGATGTCACATTCCTCGTAAAGCCCAGCTTCCCGAATCATCTGTTCTGCCTATAGATTGAAAACATTTGGAAACAGGGTGCATCCCTGACACACTCCTTTCTTGATTTTGAATCATTCATTGTTTCTCTGCTCTGTTCTGAGAACTGCTTCCTGGTCCAAGTATAGGTTTCACGTAAACACAATCAAGTGTTCTGGGATTCCCATTTTCCTCAAGGTTGGCCACAATTTGTTGTGATCCACACAGTCAAATGCCTTTGCATAGTCAATGAAACACTGATAAACATTTCTCTGGAACTCTTTGCTTTTTTCCAAGATCCATCTGACATTGTCAATAATGTCTCTAGTGCCACAACCTCTAAAGCTCTATTTTTTTCCTAGATGTTCATTCACAAATACCTGATTTTATGATTTCTTGTTAAAAATACTCCTATTGTTTTAAATGAAAAAATTTAAACAGGAAGAAGTGTTCCAGTTATGTTGGAACTGGCTTACAATGAAGTAAAAATGGAACTCCATCGTAAATTGGGACTGTTGTAGTTGTCCTATGCTATCTAGTTGGAACTAACTCTTACTTAACTCATCTGCTAGTGGGTTTTCAGAGGCAATAAATCACACAGGAGGAGATATTTTCCATCTTTCTCTCAAAGAGCAGTTGGTGGATTCAAACTGCCTGCCATTGATTTGGTAGCACAACTCCTTATCCACTAGACCATCAGAGCTTATTTCTCTTCATGGTAATTCTTCTAACTCTTGAGTTTTCCTCAATATATCTCCAATTATTCTGTTTAGTACCAAAGGATTTGTCTTCTATTTTACTGATTTAATTATATTTATTTTGCCTTCCACTGAGTTGTTTATTTCTGATATTTTATTGTTGAATTTCTGAATTTCAACTTGTTGCCTTTGTATGATTTTACATGCTTATTGAGTTTATCAGATTGTTCTTGTATTGTTTTCCTGAATCCTTTCATTATTTTTGTCTGCATTTTCCTTGAGGAGCCAAATAATAGTCTTTTAAATTCTTTTTAAGGTAGTTCTACTATCAATTCTTCCTCAGAAAAATCTTCTGTCCTTTTTATCCTGTTTCTTAAAAAAATTGTAATTGACTGCTGTTCTTGGCATATCAATATTATGATTTATGTGTTTACATATTTTTTTATTACTTGTGCAATTGCCTTCTTGAGTTTGTTTCTGCGTTTGTTTTGGTGTACCTTGAGCTTCATTTTCCCCATTTCTCTTTGTATTATCCATTCCTTTGTGTTGATTTCATGGACTCTGCTTTGTAGCGCTGGTCTGTGCATGACTGCGATGCCTTTCAGTTGATAACCATTTTTTCTCATTGGTTCATGTGATGGGGCACAGACACGTGGGAATCCTCTGTTGTAGGTACAAGTGTCTTCCCTCACAGGATAGAGTGGAGCTGCACACATGAAGGACCCTTTCCCATTGTGAAACTCTATGGGTTGAGAGGTCAAATTCGTTTATAGTTTTTGCAAATCTGTGTGGTCTCCCCATGCTTGGTGTGTACTGTGAGTGTAGCCTCCAGAGAATGACTTGTCTTCATAGACTAGGGGGGCTGCACGACGGGTGAGGTAGATTCTCTGCTTTGTTATGGATTGGTGCCCTGGCGATGGAAGACGACTGGAGGTCTCCATGTGTGTTCAGACAGCCTGAACGAATAGGTAGAGAATAGGAGAGGTACACAGTGGGCAGGTTACCTGGGGACACCTCGTTTTGTACATCAGGCAGAGTGTGTGGTGGCTTAGGCAGGCCAGAGTGGGCAGTGACTGGGAATAATGGGTGGTTCTCCACAGCTCCGTTCCTTGTGGTCAATGCTTCTCTTGTCTCTTGTTCATGGAGCCAACAGCTCCTAATAAAACCTTCATTTCCTGTGGGTTCTCTGGGGCTCCTTGTGGTCGGGCCAGGAGACCAAGGGTGTCTGGGCTATGCAGAGAGAATAGAAGGAGGAGACCACGCAGCATCCACACATGCTTGATGCAGAAACCATGTAAAACCACGTACAATTTCTGTTATTTGTTGACAGTTGTGAAGATGGCATTCTGATGGCCGAAGATGACATGTGGGACCCACGAGAAAGTGAGGATCTATCGCCTGAAGAAAGAATCTTTTTAAAGGAGTTTCCCTCCTGGAAATCTAAGGTAGAAGAGTATGTGCACAAACTCTACGCCCTGGCAGACTACACGGATTCACGTCACAGCATGTTCACCAAGACCAACGTGGTGGTCAATTCCATCACAGTGGCCTCTGGACTCATGTCTCTGCTGGGTTTAGCCCTCCCTGCAGTAACAGTTGGAGGAAGCCTCCTGCTTGCCACAGCCGGGAAAAGTCTGATGACAGCAGCCGGGGCCACTGGTCTCTTCACCAACGTCTATGAGTACTTTCACAATAAGAAAGTTCAAGCCCAGGCCAGCAGCCTAGCCTTAACCCTTGACCAAGGGGACATGGAGGCTGGAGGAAAGGAGGCAGCCAGTGCGGCGTCGATAGGCCAGACCGTGTATCACAGTACAGAAAGCATCAGGGAGATTAGGAAGTACATCCGAGCCTTTAGGCGTGCTCGGGCCCATCCTCACCTGGTTGCGGCCGCCAAGAGGTACCTGAGGACCGGCAAGGCCTCGGCCAGGAGGAGCAGGCAGCTGAAGAAGGTCTTCGAGGGCACACCAGTGATTATGGCCAGAAACGCCCGCCTGCTGGGCATCGTGACATCAGGTTTCTTCTTCGGCCTTGACTTAGCTAGTCTTCTGAGTGACCTGAAGGAACTGAAGGAGGGGACAGGAACGGAGACCGCCAAGGAGCTGAGAGCCAAGGCTCGGGAGCTGGAAAAGCTGCTGTCAGAACTCAGCCAGCTCAATGAGGGCCTGCAGCAGGTGAGGCCGGGATTCTGGGTCAGGGAGGGCGAGGGCGGCTTCATCTGGGGGGGGGGGGTGGGATCCAGGGAGTCCCAGGGGTGCAAGGGGCTCAGTGTCTTGGCTTCTCATTGAAAGATGAGAAATCTTAGTTCCCCCAGGGGTGATTTGGAGGAAGAATCTAAAAACCAGCCTTCTGAAAATCCAGCCATTGAAGCCCTGTGGAGCGGAGTTCTCCCTACTGGATCACATATACAGAGTCACCTACATCGGCTTTGATTCAAGTGCAATTTTGCTTGTTTATTTGTTTTCATGGGAACCAAGGTTCATGAAAATGATGAGAGAATGAGAACACGTGTGTGTGTGTGTGTGTGTGTGTGTGTGTGTGTGTGTGTGTGTTTTCCTGGCAGGTTCCTAAGGACATGGGGAATGTGGCAATGCTGGAGATCACTCAGGTCCCAGGTCCACCTGACCTGGAGGGACTTTGTCCTGTCTCTTACTTCTCCCTGGATGTTCTTTGGGATTCATGTGCCTGGGAGAAGGTCCTTCTGGTTTCAAAGAGGACGCTGTCAAAGGTCATGTGACTCAGCCAGTTTTCACACACCCAGCTGGGTTAGAGTCAAGGTTTCAAACCCAAACAGCCTGAGAGCAGGGCTTGGTATGGGGTGCTGCCTCCAAGGCCACGGGAGCAGCCTTCCAGAACCCTATGTTTTTGTTCCCTACAGAAACTGGAGCAAGAAGAAAACGTGATGAACTCCACTTTGGAGGGAGCCATGTGAGCCAGGCCCTCAGGCTGGCTGGGGCAAGCAGTGTGCCAGGTGAGGCCCAGGGAGGGAACTGGACTGAGGCTAAAGACCTGGAGCTGGACAAAGGGGACCAGGACGGTGTGGGTGAGGCTGGCAGGGAGACTCATGGAGACTTACTGTCCAAGAGGCCAAGACAGTCTCACCCTTACATAGGGAGAGTCCACCCATGGGGCCATCATCAGCCGGTGACTTCATGAAGGTCAATCACCCCTCTCTCCTTCACTTCCCCTCATCATTTACATATATCATTTGCTTCACTCACTCAGTGCCCAACTCACTCAAATAGTTGGTCCACCTGGACTATTGCTTGATGCCACTCACTGTGTTAAGTGGTGAGGGTCCTGGGTGAGTGGTTTCTGAGTCTGTGCCATCCACTCACCCTGTTGTTCCTGTGTCCTCTCTTCCTTCTCCTGAGCTGGAATCTCTGGACCCTCATCCACCACACATCAGTACAGCCTGCTCACCCGGCCCTTCCTCTGCGTCCAGGCCTGGAGCAGCTTCAGGACAGGAGAACCTGGAGAAACTCTTAGCTCACCAGATTACCAAGTTAATTTTTTCACTCGTTTGTTTCTTTTTGCAGTGTTCTTTAGTTGCTCTTGTAAAAATGGTGAATGTGCCTTAAGCAGAATTTTTGAAAAATTCAGGGACAGGAACAATAGGAGGAAAGACCAAGCATGTGAACTGTGGGGTTTGGGTCTGGGATCTCCTTCCTGGGTTTTGAAGTATGGGCTTCACACAGCAGACATTAGACTGCCTGCAGGGGACCCTTCCTCAAACGTGCATTGTTGTTCTTCTTAGGTGCCATCAAGTGGAGTACGACCCATAGTGACCCTATGAACAGATGTGGACCCTATCTTATCCTGTGCCATCTTCACACTTCCTGAACCCTAGAGCCCATTTTACATCTGTTACTCTGTCAGTCCACCGGGTTGAGAGTCTCCTTCTCCTTCACAGACTTTCCGCCTTTCCAAGCATGGCGTCCCTCTCCAAGGGATAGCCTCCTCCAAGCAACAAGCCCCAAGTATGTGAGATGAAGCTTTACAACTTTGCCTCCAAGGAGCACTATGGTTTTAATTTCTCCAAAATATTTCTGTATTTTTCTTTGATTAATAAAGAGACTGGGAGCCTCTTGTTTAAAACAGTTGGGATCCAGAAGGTGGGTCTTCTTTATTTGCTTAACAGTTAGTTGTGGTCTGGGAGCAAAGCTGTGTTAGAAATTAGAAAATACAAAATGGCTATTTTCCTACAAGCCATTGAGTTTTCTTTCTAATGGATTCCCAATTTCCTCATTTACAAATATAAATATAGACTTTTCCATTCTTCTATGCATGTAACAAGGAGCTCTGGTGGCATCATGAGTTGTTGCTATGTGCTATCAAGTCCCCTGTAACTCACAGTGATCCTATATACAACTCTGAAGCCTGCCCTGTCCTGAGCCATTTTCACTGACCAGACTCTGACACGTTATTGTATCAATCCATCTCATCCGGCATCTTCCTCTCCTGTGCTGTTCCTCCACCCTTCCAAGCAAGATGTTCTTCTCCAAGGACTGGTCCCTCCTGGTCATTTGCCCAAAGTATATGAGATGGGGCTTCAAAATCCTACCCTCCAAGGAGGAACTTGGTTTCACCCTCTCCAAGACAGATCTATTTATTTTCTTGGTGATCCATTTTATGTTCAAGTCTCTTTTCCAGCAACACAACTCAGAGACATCAATTCTTCTGTCACCCTTAGTTATTGTCCAGCTCTCTGATGAGAAGATCATGGCCTGGATCAGGCACATCACAGTCTTTAGATTGACATCGTTGCTTCTCAGTACTCTGGAGAGATCCCTGACTGCAGATTTTCCCAATGCAACTTGTCTTTTGATTTCCTGACTGCTGATGCCAAGATTGTTGATTGTGGAGCTGAGTAAGCTGTACGTGTTAACAACCTCAATCTCTTCTTCATCTATCTAACAGTGATTCCTATTGGCCCAGTGGTAAGAATCTTTTTGTCTTCTTGATGTTAAGCTTCAATCCATATTGAATACTACAGTCTTTGACTTTCTGCAGCAAGCACTTCGGATCCTCCTCAGTTTCAGCAAGCAGAGTTGTGTCATCTGCATAATGTAGATTGCTAATGAGTCTTTCTCGAATTCTGAGGCCACATTCCTTCCTCCTAATAAAGCCCAGCCTTCCCAAATGGTCTGTTCTGTATATTGATTGAAAAGATATGGAGACAGGACCCTCCCTGATACTCTCCTTTCCTAATGTTGAACCATGCAGTATTTCCTTGCTCTGTTCTGAGGACTGCTTCCCGGTCTTAGTAAAGGTTTCGCATGAGCACAGTCAAGTGCTCTGGGATTCCCATTCTCCTCAAGGTTAGCCACAATTTGTTGTGATCCACATATGTCAACAAACAGAGGTTGCCCTAGAGGTAGGTACTCACCAAGTTCTGCCAAAAAACCTGGAGGGCAACTGCCTGGCCAACTGACTGGAAGAGTTCCATTATTTATCCCCATTCCAAAAAGAAAGGAGTGTGGAAATTATCGAGCAATATCACATGTAAGCAAAATCCTGATGAAGATTATCCCAAAGTGACTGGAACATTGACAGAGAACTACCAGAAACACAAGCCGATTTAGAAGAGGTTGTGGCACTAGAGATATTACCATCAATGTCAGACAGATAGCATCATGAGTAACCACCAAAAGCTTGGTGGTTCAAATCCACCAACCTCTCCATCAGAGAAAGAGGGCCAGCTCCCTACCCCATAAAGATCTGCAGCCTCAGTAACTTAGTGGAGGGGTTGCCATGAGTGGGGGTTGATGTGATGGTGGTGCTTTTGGATCCAGAGGAAAGAAACCTATCCCTCAGCTTCTACTATTTCTCATCCATCCTTTTGTGCCTGAAGGAAGGAAGATTCTATAATTATTTACAGATGCACCTCCTCCAAGCTCAGTCTTCCCAAGTGGAAAGGGCAGGGGGGAGCATCTGTTTCCAGAATATCCTATGCATTAGCAGAGACTACTTGTAATTGGTCAGCACTGGGCCACATGCCTTTGCTGGGATGGGCTGTTAGGGACCATTTGCTGTGAGATCCCCGTGGAAGAGAGAACGGAGGTAGAGGATGATAATGGAACAGAAGATTTCCCATTTGTCCCTTCCTTTTTGACTATGGATTGACACGGAGACTGGAACAATGGGCTTGAACATGACAGAGATCGTGAGGATGGCACAGGACAGGACAGGGTTCAGCTCTGTTGTTCACAGGGTCGCTGAGAGTTCTTGTCCACTTAGTGGTACCTAACAGCACAACGTGAGCGGTTAAATGGATCTCGACATGTCAAAGCTTTTGTATGATCATGTAAACCCAAACCCCAAACCTGCAGTGACTTTCATCAGATTTTCAAGGCTATAAAAGTTTGTGGAAGGGGAAGCTGCACTGCAGTCCCAGAGGCGCACGGTTCGAATCCACCAGATGCTCTGCTGGAGAAGGAGGGGCAACCTCCTCCTGTACCAGTCATATCTGATTTGACAGTACACACACACACACACACACACACACACACACACACACACAAAGAGTTTGCATAGGGAAAGGACCAACCTTTCATTTCACACATGTTGTTGTGTTGTTGACTGCCATCAAGTCGAGCACGACTCATAGCAATCCTATAAACAAAAGACTTGAAGCCTTTCTATAACTATCATCATTCTTCAAGGTTCATAGAGTTTCCAGAGGCATGTTGTTTAGGAAGTGGATGCCACTCCTTTCTGATAGTTCACTTCTAATATGTTGTTGTTGGTTGCCATCAAGTTGAACATGACTCATAGCAACCCTACAAACAAAAGACCTGAAGCCTTCCTAGAACTATCGTTGTCTCTCAAAGTTCATAGAGTTTCCAGAGGCTCTTCTAATATACTGTCCAAATTATAGTAAGACCCTCAGGTGGTGAAAATGATCTGTATTCAGCTGCTAACCTCAAGGTTGCTTGTTTTCAACCAAGCAGTAGGTCCACAGAGGAATGGCCTGGCAATCTGTCTTGGTAAACACCATTGTTGTTGTTGTTGTTGTTGTTCTATACTTAGAGTTGGAACTGATCCGTATGTGACCCCTCCAGCAGGTTTTCAGAGGCTGTAAATCATAACGGAAAAGATTCCTCAGTTTTCTTCTGTGGAGCAGCTGGTGGATTCGAACTTCGTGCCTTCAGTAAGTTACAGCTAGGAAAACACTGTGGAGCAGTTTTACTCTGTAACACATGGGTCCCTTCAATGGCCCGTGACAACAACAAACACAGATATTGAAAACTAAGGCCAATAGCGCTGGTGGCCTAGTGGTAAGGCGTTGAGTTACCAGTTCAAGGGCATTTGGTTTTAATGAGCAGCTACTCACAGGAGGAAGATGAGCAATCCCCTCCTGTGCCATGTGCAGCCTCTGAAAACTGCTCGAGGCTCAGCTATGAGTCAGCTCTGGTTTAACAGCACACAGCAACAACAGTCTTAGAAAAGGGGACGGTAACAAAGAGGTCAAAGACAGCCACTGTCAACATCGTGCAGTCTTGGTTTTAGAAACCTGTCATAGTGAATCTATAGCTTGCCCCTGGAAACCCCATGAATCTGGAGAAAGGAGGAAAGTTATACAAGTGTCCAGGTCTTTCGTTCCTTGAGTCTCCTACGACTCGATGGTACTTAACAACAACATCATATATAGGGAGCTCTGGTGGTGTGGCCAGCGGGGTATTTTACCACTAACTAAAGCCCTGCCTCTCTGGAGGTTCAAATCTACCAGTGACTCCAACAGAGAAAGGTGGGCAACCTCTTCTTCCCCTGTGATTTCCAGCCTCAGAAAGTTACCAGAAGGTCAGCTATGAGCCGGTTCCAACTCAAAGGCAATGAGAGAATTCTATATCATCTACATAGACATCTTTGGGTGGCCTAGTGGCAAAAAGCTGTGCTTTAATTCCAAAGGTATGTGGTTTGAATCCACCA